CCCACCTGTAGTTTCCTTTAACAGGGCTTCAGGAATCAAGGCCTCGGTATCACTGGAGTCTGCGGCAGCAGGTGTCTCTTGCATCTCCTTCCGAGGCAAGGAGGTCACCAAAGGGTTTCTGTCTTCGGAACTTATTCGCGAGCTGAAAAATTCGACTGCAGGGCTTTGGCATAATATCATATTTTGGTGACTGCAAAATCTCAATCGGTTTAGCAGGCCAGCTATGACGCTTCTGACTTTCCCGACGCTGAATCCAACACCCTGCAGCCCAAACCTTAATACAGGAGCCTTAAGAAAGGGAATACGGTTCTGGGGTATACTATACGCACCCCAAGAGCTTCTTGCTTGGTATGTTTTCGGTGCAGTGTAGGCGCTGAGCCGCCGAAACACCAGACCCAACCCTGAACCCCAAATACCCCAGCATTACGCAACCCAGACCCTATACCCGATAAGCCCTGATTCCCAAAACCCACAGCCCTAAACTTCACACCCTAAACCCAAAACCCAAAACCCTAAACCCACAGCCCTGAACTTCACACCTTAAACCTTAAACCCTAAACCCGCCTAATCCCCAAACCCACAGCCCCAAACTTCACACTCACCATGAGAGCCCCTTCGGAGTCCTTTCCAAGGAGCACTGGCACCTGTGGCAGCATCCCGTTCTTGCGTTGGGGAGGAGGGAGGAGCGCTGGTAGTGCTTACCTTAGGTTTTATGGTTTAGGGTTTAGGCTTAAGGTATGCAAAACTACTTGTGTGTAGGTAGCTTATAACACCTACCTTTTTGTAGGCTCTATGAGTCTAGGATAGGTTGTGGTAGCTTAGAGTAGTGTCTATGGCGGGTGTGATGCTGGTCACTCCTCGAACAGCCATCAGTAACATCGAAGCTGGAACCTTCTCCAAGTGGATGCAGGGTCCAGTGTGTTGGGAGCCCAAAGCCTCAACCCTAAAAACCATAGACTCAAAATCAAACCCCAAAGCTTCAACGCAACACCCACAGCAGACCGTAACTTAGGAACCCTGTTGAGGGTTTGAGGTTTAGGAGCCCTGTTTATGGTTTAAGGTTTAGGAACCCTGTTTAGGGTTTAGGGTTTAGGTTCAGGGAGCTTCGATCAACAGCAGCTTAGGTCCCGCCTGTGGTAGCGACCGCGTCTCTTCCACGATCTCTCGCTCAGTCGTTTGCCCGGAGACTGCAAAGGACACTTGCCTGTGAAGGGCTTTAGGGCTTTTTGGCGGGTTTAGGGCGAAAGGATCAAGAGCCCGGATACGGAAACTAGGGTGTTTAGGGTTTAGGGTTTAGGGTTTAGGGTTTAGGGGTGTTGAGACACCTACTTGCTTCTGAGGGGTCAAAGGCTTTCAGCAGTCCCCAACCCACACCCCACCGCTAGAACCAGAGATTTCCAAAACCCACAACCCGATGACCGTAAATCCTATGATGAAACTCTTAGAAGCACCTGACAAAGCACCCCTGTGATATGAACCCTATCAAGACCCAGGCGACAGTGCTTCACAAGTCTTCTAGACTCCCTGTAAATGCCCTTAAAAGTGCCTTCTTTCCTTGTCATCCCCCTCAACCCTAAACCCAAACCCTCGAAACTAAACACCCTAAACCCTGAAAGCCCTAAGCCCTAAAGGCCCTTACACAAATCCTACAGGCCCTGCACACAAAAGGCACGAAGCTGAACCTCTAAAAGCCCTATTAAACCCTAAACCCTGAAACCCTACTGGCCCTTAAATAAGCCTCAAAACCCCTATCAAACCCTAAACCCTAAACTGTTGGGGCCTGCTCTTCTTCTCCTAACCCTCAACCCTAAACCCTAAACTTTTAGGGCCTGCTCCTC